GACAAACTTTCTGCAACGCGTGGGAAAATAAAGCTGAGGTCGTGTTTATATATATACATGAGCATTGGGCCAACATGAACAAAACCGAGTTGGAGGATTGTCATTCTCCCCACCTTTCTCATGGCCAGTGCAGATGTTCTTCCTTCCAAAAGTGCAACGAATCTCCTTAGATTTGCTTAGTAATTCGCTTGGATGCTTCAGATGACGCTGGGCTTCCTTCGATTCACCGGCACCACCGCGTTTGTTTCTGCCTCCGCTTCTCCGACTCCGCGCCGCCAGAACCTGGTGGCCCGAACCAACATCGTGTCACAGCAAGGCGCCCGGCGCCCGGCGACGACGGTGGCTGAAGGGTTCGGACCCTGTGGAGCTTTCTGAGCTCCAAGTAGATGAGGCCCTGTGCTGAAGGGTCTCAACTGCCAGAAACACGTGTAGGATAGGGAAAAGGGTGTGGAAGAAGATGTGTTTTCCTGATGTTTCTTGGCTAGGGGGGTTGTAGCAGTTTGTTGTTTTTTCTGTTTCGATTTGTTTCTAGTTTGTTGAATAAGAGGGCCATGTCTTCTTTTCCAAGCACCCCACTGACCGGCATCATCGAAGTAGACGAGTTGATATTTTTTGCAAAAAGCAGTGAGAACGTGGAACCAACCAGTGAGACCAAACCACTCACTGGCCCAAAATTGTGGCCAACCACCAACCACTCACTGGTCCACTCACTACACTAGTCTAAAGAGGGAAGGATTTCTTGCGGCCCAACTCTGTTTGGGACCAGTTTCTGTCAGAGGGGCATAGGCCAAAACACTTAGACTAAGTATATTGTGGACTCTGAGACCTTCAAAGCCGCCGGATTTACGAGGAAACAATACAATGACAACTGATTCAACCCTTTTCGGTAGGGGGAACTCCAGGATCAGAAAGGGAGGGTGAAGCAAAACTCGATCAATCTTCCCAAACCTTCTGCAGGTTGGTATTCACATTTATTCACTATAATAGGTCGTCGATTTTCTTCCATGGAGAACCGAGTCGAACTAGTTACTTCACCACAGGGGCGACAGGTGGAGCCGTCAACGTGGGGTCTCTACATCCGTTGACCTTCAACGAGGCGGTGGCCAGTGTCCAGGAGCGAGGTCACCGGAGTCGAGCGAGTCGAGCGATTCGGTGGCTGGGTGGTTTGTCAGGTCACCGGAGGGTCTTTGAGGCGAGGAGTTGGTGAAAGAAAGAGAAGGTGGATTAGGGTGGTGAAGATTCTTAGCTAAGTAGTAATTAAGAGGCGTCCAGGAGCGACTGGGGCATTGTTTGGAATCATTTTCTTGGGAGGCTGACTTAGGCGACTCAATTCACTCTTGATTCACCAACTGCCCCCCGGAGGTGTCGAAACGGGATGGTGTCACATCTCCTTTTGGGGGTGTCCTTAAGATCCTTAGCCTTAGTGAAGATATTGGATTTTGTGATGACGAGCTGAGGATGGGAAACATGTTTGTCCGTGTAGCCATGCTTGCACACCAGACCAAATCTATCAATTTGCACGTTGTTCAAATTGGTTGCATTAGAGCTACTAGTGGGCTTGCGTCCCTCCCAATTCCGCATATAGATGCTCCAGGATGTGCCGTGCACGAATGGTATCTTGCACGTGCTGGACCATGTGGTGAAGCCCAAACGATGGCGCTTTCCGGAGAGGAACTTCATGCAATTTGCGAACAAGGAGCTGAAGTTTGCCCGAGCTGTAGTCACTGCAGTCTTGCATCGTCTTGCTATGTCTGTGTTTTTTGGGAGGGGTGCAGATGTCACATGTCTTAGAAGGACATATAATAGCCGGACCGGTCGGTTCGTGGGGTGTTGGACGGTCCTCGTATGTAGTAACTTATGATGACACAGATTTGTGCAGATGGCACCAGTGACCGGCCTGGACAGGTTCCCCAGCGTCCAGGGAAGCACGTATTAGCTATACCCACCCACTCGTTTTAACATGAAAGTGGAGCATGGCCGCCATGGGAAGACGACGTACTAAGTTACTTATTCCTTTGCAAAAGCAGGGGGTGAACTCCACGTATATAACCATGTGATCCATGTTCGTCACGCCACAGTGCACGTGATGCTTCATGCGACCTGAGGTGACCAGGGGGTGACAGGTCCACGCCTTGTGCTCCTCTGGGCCGGGCCGTGCACGGTGCACGCCGCCCTCCCAAGATGAGGTCCTTCCGGTATGAGGGGTGCGTGCGTGCTAGACCGTGCACGCCGTTTGGTGTTCTTTTGCGCGGGTTTCTGCACCTCATCCCTTCCTCAGGAGAGGGACTTGAGCGAATTCGTTCGCTTGGTCTCCTTCAGCGGCTTGCTCACAGAGTTCCAGGCCTCGGCTTCTGTGGGGTGATTGGTCGTTGGAACGGGTGATGTGGACGAGACAGGGGGCCTGAACCCTCGCCCCAGCTGGGACTCTTTACTTAAGGATAGGTGGTCATCTCCATGAACATCATGAACACCCTGCGATACCCTGCGACTTTTGAGATTTGATTGCTTCTGAGCTCCATGTCCACCTACCCTTTCTCGTCTTTGCACCTGAGCTGTTTTCCACCCAAACCAGTTCTCCCCCTGGTGACCCGGCGACGGCGCCGAGGGCGACGGGCCCTTCACCGCGATGATCCCGAACGACTACGCCTTTGCACTCCTAGGCGCCCACGGAACAGATGAGAGAGGGTCGAGACCTTCAGAGTTGACTGGTAGGATCAATCCTAGCTCTGGAGCAGCTGATTCTGAAAAGAACATCCAACGCTTTAAAGGTCAAGTCTCAGTGGACCTGACCAAGGCAATTTATATATATATATAGTAGTGGAACTTTTACTATTATCTTAGTAATTTTGAAGGGGTTGCAGTGAGGCTTTTCTGTAAGCTTTTGTGTGACTGTGTGCCAGCGCCCGGACGTAGGATGTATTAACATGACATATAGGTCTATGTCTATGTATAACTAGGTCCCAAAAATACTTCTCTCCCAGTCAGTTTGGGGACTCATTTTGTGCCAGTGCAAGCAGGAGATTCGGTCAACAATCTCTTCTTGCCAGAGAACTCCGAGAAGCTCAAGGAAGAACACGACTTCATGCCCTCACACAACCGCGTGCAAGAAGTTTGGAAGATGATAGTTGATCATACACCCGTATACCAGGTCTTCAAGAAAGAGCTCTCACAAATGCGAAAAGCCAAGGAACTTTGTTGAAAACGTTTTTTTGGTGCTCTTGCAACATTCGTAATACGAGACCATTAACTTATTTACATCTATTTACCATCAATACGCGTCCATTGGAATGTCAGAAATGCAGCCGCAAGGTGAAAGAAGCTGCGTATTTTTTAGCTAGTGGAATGGTACCCCCTCGAAGACATCAGAATACTTGTCAACAGGGTGTCAACAAATCTCGGAAAGATGTTTTCCATGGACTCAATAAACCTTGTTTGGCGACCTGGGCTGATGAGAACCTCGAAGACTTGGAGAGAACCTTGTGGAAGCGGATGGATGCTTTTTCTGGCAAACGGTGTTTGGCATCGCTACTAGGAGCAAGGACGATACGCTCCTGGCCATACACTAGTCACTAGTAGCAAGCATCGACTAGTAACAAGGGCATCACTACTAGTAACAAGAGCCCGCAGTCTTCCACTTTCACTCTTGTTTCAGGATGGCTCCTGTAACACCACTGCCTGCCATACGCCCTCAGGAACATCAAGCAAGATATATATTTGGTCTTTGTTTGGGGGTGAATTGATTTAAAGATATTTAAAGGACGGATGGAAGAAGCTTGCGAAGCCCAAGAGGTGGTGAGGGTGAACTGCATGGCACTCCCAGAACCGGGACCGATCGAGAACGAACGGATCCCGAGAATCGGATCGTTTTCGGAGGAGTTCCTGCGATACCACGTGGTGGTGGGGAAATTCCTCAGCATCCAACTCACCAGTCCTCAGGACCTGAACACCTTGCAAGGCGATCCTTCGACCTTCGACCCAAATCCCACCGGTCCTTTTTCGCCCCGTTTCCCCGTTGAAACGGGCCAGCTGAAGACGTCGACGGTCGGCGTTGAAGACGGGAGCGACCGGGGTGGGCCGAGGTTGGCCAGGATTCCAGGTGGCCCCATGTGGAGCCCAGGAGTCCTTTGCGCGGGCCAGTGGCCACTGTTTTTCCCACCCCATGCATGTTACTGTTGTCCCTACTGTTTTTTGTGTCGCTTACTGGGCAGGTACGCTCCTTGAAATCATCATGGTTTATTGGATTTCTGGGTCATCCGAAATCGGGGCCCATCCACGTAGCCATGATTCTTGCAGGGAGTCTATGAGCCGGACTATGTATGCCCAATCGGCTATTATGTAGTCTATTATCTATGGACATGACATCCTGCACGAGCTGGAGCCACCCCAAAAAGATATGCCCAAAACATCCCAACACATGTGAGCTCACGTGACATTTGCTGGATGCGCTTGGTTTTCACAGCCTGGTGGTCCACGGTCCTTTCAATCGCTTTCCTTGTAAAAATATAATCATAATATACATACACCCGGGAAGATTAAGATGAAACCTTAAAATGAACCTTTGGAAGACGATGTTCATTTTCCTCTACAACCCACTGGTTTTCAGGTTCCATGTTAATCTTCAGAGTGTAGGCTTCATCGGCTTCATCGGATCCGCCTGTTAGGCGGTGTTGTGAGCGCTGTACCCTGGACGCAGCTGGGATGGACCGGCATCGCCTACCAGTCAGCTGCCCCGCCTGTGGTGATCAACGAGCGGGCACAGGTGGTCAGTTGCGGAAGATGGCAGAAGCCTGTAGAAACACCCGCTGTTGAAAATCCAAAGAACAATGCTGAGATATCCTGAGCTAGCAATTTGTGTGTGCGATGTTCCGTTTACCTGGCAGCCATGCAGCATTGTTTAATGTATTTCATGTCAAAGCAGGACGGAAGAATACAGGGCCGTTGGCCATGTTCCGACCGTGACCATGTCACAGGTGGTGACGCCGGACATCTTAGCAACCAATGGTGTGGTGCACATCATCGACCATGTGTGTCTTGGCAACGAATCCACCGCCTTCCTGCGCCATCCACATGCCGTTCTGTTAAGGTGCGAAAAGGTGTCACGGATGTCTGTGAAGTTCTTCTAAGCCTTCTAAGCATCGTTGATGCAGCTCTCTGTGTGGATTTGTTTCCTCTAGCATGGAACCAGACACGAGACTCCGAAAACACGAACAGTGAGTTCCGGCAGAATCCGGCAGATGCTTCTCCCCACAGCAAGCCCCCAGAGCGTGCCTCCTCGACCGAGGCTATTCCCTCCTGGAGTGGACCTCTCTTTCTTCGACACAACGCAAGCACCACTGCTGGCTGCCAGCGATGCAAAAGTGGCGACCACCACGATGTGTGCGCTTCTAGCGCTCATCGCTAGCTGCGGATGATCTAATAATGCCTTTACTGTATTTTATTTGCGGTTGAGTTGGAAATACAGGTATACAAGGGCACTGATTGTGGAAAGTCCATTTTCTTTCATTATGCTGAACTTAAGCTAGCCGCTGACCTACTACACAGGAATGTCACAAGAAGTTATAGAATGTTTCAGAAGGGAGTTTCTGGCAGACAAGAACCACTTGCTTGCAATGTCGAGATGTTTGGCTTTTTCGGGGGTAGAGAGCATCGCACGCGGATGGTATTTTTGTTGATTCTCCATGTAGTGTGTTTCAGGTACTCTAGGAGGGTTTATTGAGCATCGCCCCAGTGGCAGCAAATGTGAGTTTCCCTGACTTTGTGGCACATGTTTTCTTCCGATGTTGTGTTGGCTTTTGGCTTGTTCCGGTTGAAGTTTCTTGAATGCTTTTGTCTTGTTTGACTATACTTGGGCAGTGGAAAGAGGCAGTTCTCACTCCTGATGGTTGCTGGAATCTAGTCAAATCAGTCCGACAGCAGCGAGGACCGTAGCAACGCTTGCATGTTTTGAGGGTGACAAGGCCCCTAGTCGTGTTTTGGCACATTGTTTGTGCCAAGACAAGTGCCGAGCTTCCAACAAGGTTGGAAGCTGCAAATGATCAGGTTAGCAGGGCAAGACCGGAAGTTAGCGGAATCTATTTAACACCTATGTTATATGCACATATACTTGTAGTATACAAGCTGGGAATATTGAAACTGAAAAGTAATTAGAGGCCAGGCACAACAACAGTAAGGACGTTTTAAACACAAAAAACCGCCTTGAAGCTGTTTCTCAATTCCCCACACCTCGTCATTCTGAGACACATTTGGGCAGGAGGTCTGCCCCTTGCCAGCCATCCTCGACCACAAACGTGGTGATGAGGGCCAAGACCGTTCGCCAAGTGCACCGAAAATAAAGGAGCCTCAAAGGCAAACGAGGGTCGTTGAGATTTTTTGCAACGATCGAAACAACTGCTAGTCGAAGAAGGGGGTGTGAACATGTGCCGTTTGATTTTGGTCTCAACCACAGCTGTGGGACCCCAGGGAGGATCTTTGACCATGGGGTGCGGTGAACCCAGAAGCAGGAAACATCACCGACCAGTCTCCGGCAAGGTGTATAGGTTCATAGAAGCCCGAGGGAAGCGAAAGGAATGTGGTCTAGAATCTAGAGGAACCCGTGAAGGGTTCAGCAACTTCAGTAGGGGCTAGCAGAAGCAGCAGCAGAGGCAGCAGCAGCACCACCAACACAAATCCACATGAACAGCAAGGACCTTTGGGAGGATTATGTGTGACTCACAGAAGAACCAGCTTAATTCAAGAACATGGTTCGGTTGGTTAAGTGGAATCAAGTGGACACATGAACACCACCATGTAAGAACTTCTTCAAAACCTGCTCGTGCCAGGTTTTGATCAGCGCTCACTTGCTGAGAAGCCTCGATCGCACTGTATTGCTGCTGAAAAAGGCTGCATCACCTCAGCTTGCCAAGAGCAACTTGAGATCATGCACGATATCTATGAAATCCCAAGATCATCAATAGATGTTGATTCATCTCTTGAAGTGTTCTACCAATGCCCGCACTTCGCAATACTGCCAGTTGCGATGCAAGAGCTTCAAGTTTAACTTGTTGTTCGAGACCGACCGCTTGCACGCTGACGGCGCATCAGTGAGGCAAAACAGGGTGAAAAGGACCTGGACCTTCAAGGGGTGTCCTGTCTGGAGGTACCTGTACGTAGTGTAGGGGCTTCCAGCCAGGTGACCCTTTGAAGGTGCTGGGACTTAACATGTTGATCAGGTTTCTTTTCCATCCGAATTGGGTGATCCAGAGCTGGTCAATACCAGCAGCATATTTTGTGCTGAGGAACTTTACCCCGGTGGTTTATTGGAGCCTCGCATCAAACAAAACAACGCCTTCCCCTGGATCTGTGGGTTCAACATATATATATATATATGTATAGTTCAGTTCTACGGTATCTACAAAAAGTATTCCAAGTGGAGAGCTGTGCCGTCGTCTTGTGTATATACATCTCCAAGAAGTGAGTTGCGTTGTGTTGTTGAACCCAGTCATGGATACTCAAGGCGAACCACTCCAAGACTCCAAGATGATGAGAGGATTGGTTACGTGCACCGCTCATCATAGCTTGTAGGAGGTCGACCAAGAAGGATGGATGGATGGATGGATGGATGGATGGATGGATGGTCCGCTATGTTCGACAGGTGTTTGCCACAGCTTTGCCTTTGCCCGCCAGCCAGTTGTCCTGGCTCAACCGCGGGGAACAGACCTCGCCAACGAAGCGCGCTGCCCGGGGCAGCGTGGGCAGAAGCCTCAGGACTCCTAGCTTCAGCTGGTAGTTGTGGAAGAATTATCATCGGTGAGGGATCTTTGTAATAGAAATTCAGGAATGTTCCCTTGAAAATCTGGTATCTTCCAAAAACTGGTGATATATAGAGAACAGTTCACAATCCTACGCACTCGTGGTTGCGAATGCGTTGTCATTTTTTTTTGAAAGGGGGGGCCTCGCTGAGAACGACCAGAACCCCTGGCGCCTCTCTCCTCATCGTCCGGTCACTCAGGGATGTGGCGCTTCCTCCTCTTGGTCGCAGCCGCAGGAAGAGAAGCTCCCACAGTGCCTTGGCGCTTCCGAGGGCGGCGGCGCGGAGGCGTCGCTCGTGGCAACCGATGAATTCGTGAAATCGAATAGCTCAGTCATCCGGAACGTGTCGCTCTTTCGTTCAACCTTTCTAGCGATCCCTACCCGTCAACTCTGCTGAAAGCCCTTTTTTCCTGCTTGGTTCACTTAAATGCCACTTTGGGTGGCACATTCGGCCAACATTTCTCTTGGATTGATGCATCCAGGCTTCAGAGAGGGCTGGATTGCTGGGTGTTTTCGTTCTTCACCTTCGTGGATCATGGGGTGTGTACATCGTGATGGGTATAATAAGTAAAAGCTGATATCACCTATATCCAATTTGCTGGCCCCCTGCAACTCATGCACGTTTGATGTAGTGAATAGAATCTATGATCTATGCCACTCAAATCCCGTAGATCCCCAAAACCATGGCATCCTGTATAGGTGATCATTTCTTGACATATAATTTATATATATGTTTGTTTGAGATGTTCAACCGGGGCGAGGGTCGGAACCTTCTCTCGGGCGTCGGGCTGTCGGATTCTTGGATCACAGGTCAAAGTTCACCTTCTGTCCTCCGATGACACTCGGGGGCTTTTGAGGGGCAGTCGGGAAGCTCAGTGTGTTTTTTTAGATCCTACAGCGCCTGGACATGGGTGTGGCCAGCAACTCCCCAGCTTTTTTGACGTGTTTAATGCTGACCAAATGCCCTCACCAGATGTGGACTCAGATTTTTGGTTGCTCCTTTGGGCCTATCAGATTCACAGGTGGCCTGGGCCTGGGCAGTTTCAACTACAAATTTGTTTAAAGATGTTGAAAGTCCCTTTCCATAGTCGAGTTGCATGATTTACATGACATGCCGTGGCAGAATCGTGAACAAACAGTTGGATTTGTCAAAAAGCCTGTGTGACAAATCATGAGACAAAACCTCCACAAAAAAAGCTCCAAGAGTTGCAACGAGAGAAATTTGTGAATGAACAACTCCAACTTTTTTTGCCGCACATTTTCTCTCCATCGAACGATCACTCTAAGCGAACACCTCCCACCAGCGACTGTAGAGGTAGGTATGATCAAGTGTGACTCAGCATGACGAGGTGCACAGGGGCCGTTTTGTTCATGATGTTTGGAAGGAACCCAGTGGATCCAGTTACCACTATAGTAGGTAAAATCCGTAAAGACGTAGGTAAACTAGTGGTTCCAAAGACAAAAACTACAGTAGACCTAGAAACTCCGGTTCGTTATAAACTGGGATCCACTACTGTAGGGAAACCAAAAAAAACAAGGAACGTATATAAAGATACCTCCATCCGACGCGGCCGCTTTGCACGGCTGCTCAAGCGCTGCTCAAACGTATTCTCTCGACTCGTCCCAGGTGCCGAGACCCTGCGGGCGCTGGAGGCGGAGAAAGAAGCGTTTGGTGCCCAGAAGATGTCGACTCTGTGAAGCTGCCGAAGCTACGGAAAGCGGAGGGTCCACCGCAGAGGAGAGACCTGTTGGTGAGAGATCGTTTGGTGATTCCAACTTGCACCGAACCTTCCCAGAAACCGAGGCTCAATGAAGCAGCGCCACTGTTGAAGAAGGCTCAAGAGGAGCACGTTGGAGGCCACGAGGCCTGACTAAGCTGGATCAGTGGGCTTGACCAAGCTGGATCAGGGTGGTGCAGTGGAACAAAGGCAGATCCTTTTGGGGTCTCACAGTGGTTTCAGAGAAGATGGCAAGACATGCACAAACCCTAAGATGTCTTTCAGATGGGGGTCAATATAAACCGCCTTTTGTTGCTTGTGCCATCTACTCTGAAACCACTCTAGTTGTTCGTGCACGCCCTATGAAGCTCATACACCGCACCTAGTATCGCACCCGTATGGTTGCTTTTTTTGTTTGTTACTAGGTTCCGAAACTTGTTGATATGGACACAAAACCCTTAGGGCTGGCACCATATCCTCAGGTTCGGTGGTTAGACACCCCTGGCACCCACCCCAACCATCTTCTCAGGAGGTAGTTGGAGCCCTAGGAAAAAGTCATCACAAATCAACCTCAAAAAGCTCGGACTCCCGTGCCGTGCAATTTTACCTCGGATATT